GGGTAAGAGAGAGTATCGTATGTGCCAAAGCATAAAAGCGCTTTCGTACTCGTATTTATTTGCAAAGCGTTTAGTTTCATAAATATAGCTTGTATAGAAATACATATGTATATAATCATGTATGTAATCATGCACATATGTAAATACATGTAAATATGTACATACGTTTGCAGGTACGGTGACCGTATTTATGGCTGTCGCATCCGGAGCAAAAAATTATTTTGGCAATTATTTCCACAAAAGGTAGAGAATTTTAAAACTTTTCTCAACGATCCTAGATTTGTTCGCCCTGAAACAGCATCTTTGTTTGGCATACATAAGTAATGTATTTTCGATCTTTTTACTCGAATGTAGAATATTTTCCCTTTTTTTAACCTTGTACTTTGTGTTCGGGATTTTTATCCCGCAAAATTTGTTAAGAACATTCCTAGGCATGGAAACGTTATGAAAATATCGGACTACTTTTGAAGCGCGTGTGGTATTCAAAGGATTATTTTCAGACTTGGATTTCGGTCAAGCACAATGCAGTGAATAGCATCACACCAAGGCACATTGGACAGGTAATAACGCCAGAGCAAAAAACCGAAAGCTATGTGTATTTTGTTGTTGTGTACATAAACAAAGTTTGACATATTTTTAGGTCTTAATACAACGATTATCTAGTTTCATCAACCACAGAGTGGTGTTGTCTAGAAATTTGTGTCGAGAATGAGTTCAGCTCAATTAGAAAATTTCCAAACCACCATACTCTGCAACTGTCAAAATGCAGAAATCTGTACAAATGTACAAATCGTGTGATCCATGGTTAAGAATTTGTTTAATCAACTCTTTGTGTGGCTCTTTTTCTTCTTTGTTTCCTTTCTTCAATAACAGTGGTAGACTACCCTGCCTTTAGTATTTTCTGCTAGCCTGGAATACTGGAAAATTGTGCTATTGATGACAAAAAGCTGTGCCAAAATCAGGTTTTATTGTTAAATAAATGGCTATAAAAGACCTTAAGGTCAATATGCAGGCATAGATTTGTTCAGGGATTGTAGTCGAAAGTTGAATAAAGCCTAAGTGGAAGGCCTTCTGTTTAATTGCGGTAGGGACTCAAACTTCACCAAAATCAGTTTTTACTGTTAATTAAATTACTATAAGTGACCATCAAGTCAAGGTGCAGGGATGGTATTTTCAGAGATATTAGTCGAGAGTTCTATCTTTAATTTAGGCGTTAGTGGAAGATTCTATCACCTTTTGCTACTTTGCTATAGTTTACAAATATCCAGTTTTCCTACGCAAATGTAAATGTAACTTGAGAAACCATCTATGTACATATCGTCGGTCCCTACGAAGAGTAGCACATTTCACTATTCGCGTGGAAGACTAGCACATTTCACTATTAGCGTGGAAGACTAGCACATTTCATTATTCGCGTCGAAAAGTAGCACATTTCAGATTTTTGC